AGAGAGGTTATCTTCGACGACGTTTGCTAAGATTGTGGAGATTGTCATTAAGATTTGAGAAGATAGCACGATATGGGCGGTCTTCGACGACATTCGCTAAGATTGTGGAGGTTGTCATTAAGATTTGAGAAGATAGCACGAGATGGGCGGTCTTCGACAGCATTCGCTAAGATTGTGGAGGTTGTCACCAAGATTTGAGAAGATAACAAGAGATGGGCAGTCTTCAACAACGTTCGCTAAGATTGTGGAGGTTGTCACCAAGATTTGAGAAGATAGCACGAGATGGGCGGTATTTGACGACATTCGCTAAGATTATGGAGGTTGTCACCAAGATTTGAGAAGGGCAGTTCGTGATGAGGCGGTCTTCGATGACTTTTGCTATTATTGGGAAGGTTGTCACTATGTTTCAAGAAAAAGGCTCAAAATGTAGCAGCATTGATCGACGGCGTTCCCTAGCTCGTGGAGGGTTGTCACACACAATTGGAGGTGATCTCAAGCAAATTTATCTTCGATCATGTTCCCTAGCTTGCGGAAGATGGTCACAAGGCGGTAGAAGATCGTTTCAAGTGAAGCAATCTTCGATAGTATTCTCTAGCTTGTAGAAGACTATTACAGCGGAATTGGAGGCAGTTACAAGCGTAGCAGTCTTCAGGCGGTATCCTCTAGCTTGAGGAAGATCGTCAAAACAGCAAGATAGCGTTCCCTAGCTTGTGGAAGGTTGTCACGACAACAAATGCAACAAATCGGTTACCCACAGAGACGTGTGCTCGACGGTGCAAGATACGCGTTTCTTAACTCTCTTATCTGTTTTAACTAACGATAGTTTGCAGGTATCGGCGTTACAAGAATGATTTAGGATCGCAGAACGTTCTGAATCATTCTCCATCCCTATCGCTACTTTGACTTTTGTTTTCAAAACTTGCGTTTCTCCAAACTCAGTCAAAGTGGGGGCTTCTGTAGACACCCATTTGTGTCTCCTCAAAACTAGACTCGGTGATGAATGCCTTTCACGTTGAATCATAATCAAATGAAGTGAAAGTGTGTAAAGTCTAATTTTGCTGTTAGTTTTCATTAAAAATCTCTCTTTCTGTTTTCAAAAAGCTATTATATTTTATGAAAATAGCCAATTTAGTTTATTTTGGTCCATAACAAGGGTCCAATAATAGTGTAGTTACATAGGGCTCGAAAAGACCTTTCTAACGATATAATATAAGCCCAATTCCAATGAATAATGAGTAAGTTATGGCTAAACTACTAAACTGGGTCCGGTTTGCTCTTTATATGCGACCCAATGATTTAGAGGAGGGCCTATTATGAATTATCATTCCTAATGCAATTAGGATTGATTATAGCCTTCTAGAATCTTCTACAAAGTTTTTTTGAATCCTAATGGGATTAGGATTGATAATTAAGTTTTATGAGTTTTATTTGGAATAAAAGAAGTGTTTTAAATGAAATGACAATTTTACCCCTCGTACGGACTTTTACGATTTAATTTTATTAAATAATAGAAAACGTGTGGAAAAATCTCCTGCGACGCCGAACGTCAGGATGTCGCCTGGCGACAAACTTTGTCACACGGCGACAGGGGCTGTTATTGGCGACAGCGGCGTGTTTTATTCATTTTCGTACTCTGATTCATTTTTATCGATTTCGGACTATTTTATTATAAATAAGGTCCATGGACCTCCGTTTTTAATAATCAACTCTCAACCAGAATTCTTTAATTCTCTTCTCTATCTAAGCTAAAGCTTATTCTCTCTCTCCCTCTTTCTAGCCTAAACTTTTACAAACAAAATTCCGCATTCACAAGCAATAGACATACCTAGCCAAGTTCGAAATTGCCTTCTCCCTAGACGTGAAAGGTTTGATATTTCTAAGGGTTTGGTCCCAAATCTTTATTTCAATTATTTGATTTAATTGTTTGTTTAATATTTTCCTTGAAGTTACTAACGTGTGTATTTTTGTTATTAGAAAGGGATACGAGGCATCCAAGTAAGTAATTTAATTACTTTATTGATATTTTGATATAGAAATCATGCTTAGATTATTTTATTGATTCCTAGTATCATGTTAGGGTGTTTTGATCTTCCTACTGTCATGTTTAGGGTAATTACTAAAATTTCTAATATCAAGTATGATTGTTATAATGCTTCCAATTTCTTTACTAATATCATGTTAGTATCATGTTAGGGTTAATTTTTTGATATTTAATGCTTAGTGACATGCTAGAGTTTGTTATTAATCTTGTTATTATCATGTCTAGAATCTTGCTATTAATATTATGCTTTAATATGATTAATTTAATTATGATTGTTATTTCTATTATGATTATAATTGTTATTTTGTGGTTATTATGTTGCTTGATTATATTTATTGTTATTGCTTGATCATGCCTTTTATGCATGTTTAAAGGGAAATTGTACTTGTAATCACGCTTAATAAGATAATTAATAATCTTGTTTAGGTTAATTTGATTATAATTCAAGTGATCGCCAATAATAATTTTATTTGTGCATTACTATTCAACCAACATAGATTAGACAGGTTTAGGGTAAACTTATTGATTGCATGTTAGTCAGAAAGCTCACATGAATACGAGAAGAATAAAGTAGAGGCCTATTATTAGGGAAGGTTCTTTCTCTTTTAGATTGGATTTGTACCTTCATCCCCGAACTTCCAGTCTTGGTTCAAGAACTATTGGAGTTGACGATCTCTTGGATCGTTAAGGGGTGTAACCTTTACCTCGTGGACGGTTTACAAGTTCCTAAAACTTGTTGGCGACTCTTTTGCTCTAACTTCCTTCCCTTTAGACGCCACCATACTTAAGTGTATGATTACAGTGGGATTCAAGTTTGGGGTAATGCTTGAAATATTCCCTACTGTAGTATAACATGATCAGGTTAAGATTTGTTCATAACAATTACTAGTAATCTAATATATATATATATATATATATATATATATATATATATATATATATATATATAACTAAACTTTTAGCTAGGCGACGAGACAGCGACACTTGGCGTTCCAACTTTTCGCCAAGTGTCGTGCCACGTAGGATAGAGTTATATAGAATTCAATTGGTAGGATAAAAAAGGTAGTTTAGAATTTTATTTTCAATCAAATTTGGATAGAATTTTAGGATAAAATTGTTAATTTAGAGTTTTATTTTTGATAAAGTACCAATATTTCATATGTACAAATTGAATTATAATTCTATTAAAAAAAAAAGATTATAACTCTCATAAATTATCTTATAAATTTATTTTTTGTATCATAATATTTTTTTGGAGCGAAGGAATTAGTTCAAAATGTACCACATCCATGGTTTATAATATATTCTAATCAATTAAAATAATATACTTCACAATCTAATATAATTTTATTACTGTGTGTAGACCTGTCAATCAGATCGGGTCACGAGTCATTTCAGACAAGGTCAAAAAAAAAATCACCAATATTATTATTATTATTATTATTATTATTATTATTATTATTATTATTATTATTATTATTTGTCATTACATGTCTACAAGTTTAAATCGTCACAAAAACACGTCAATTCCTAACTAATTGTGTATCAATGATATGTTTTAAAATTTGACATATAGATTAAAATATATCTTTAAATTTAATAAACAACCCGGGCATCGCACGGGCACAAAACAAGTATATATAAAGGGGAGCTTTTTCCCTAGTTTTTAAAGAGTCATATAGGATTTAATTTTTTTAACGCATAATATAGGATTAAATATTTTAATTGTAGCAAATAAAATAAAAGATTATTAATTTCTTTTAAAATTAAATAATTCAAATGCCAGGTAAGCAAAAGTGTCGAATGAGATTTTTAAGTTTAAATTAATTAAATATAAAATATTATCTTTTGATTATAAGAATTTTATCTAAATATCAAAAAAATTTTAGCACATACATAAAAATATATATATTTTTTTAAAAATTCAAACAAATTGTACATCGCGCGGGGTTTATATGTACAAGAATTTTCCCTCATGTTTTTAAAGGCCATGTAGGATTTAATTTTTTTAGCGTGCCATGTAGGATTATAAATTTAAGTTGTAGTCAATTAAATAAGATATTATTAATTTGTTTTACAATTAAATAATTCAAATGACACGTAAGCAAAATTGACGAATGATATTTTAAAGTTTAAATTAATTAAATACAAAATATTATTTTTTGATATTAGAAATTTATCTAATATTTTGAAACTAATATAATCACATTTTTAATCACATAAATATGAAAAATATTTTTTTAAAAAAAATATTAATAAACCGTACATCGCACGATATGGGATAAGTGATTCGAGCTTTTAAGAACAGAGGTAGTGTGTATCGCTATTTGATTATGGGATAAGTGATTCGAGCTTTTAAAAAGAGGTAGTGTGTATCGCTATTTGATTTTATGGTTTTGTTGTTGTTTACTTTGTATTTGCTATGAAATTTGCAATCACTTGAAAAGCAAGTAGTTCGATTAAAAGATAACGACCAAATTGGGCTAAAATCACATGCAAAATTATTTAATAATCAATAATAATGATACAATCACCATTGTGAATTTGTGATTCCAAGATATACTTCGTACTATTTTTTGGAAGAATTTACAATACAAGGGGAGTTCGGATAACATAGATTATAGAAAAAAGGAGATATGTATAAAAAGATATGTATAGTAAAGAAACCACAAATAGAAGGCAAAAATGACGACACTACCCACTTTGAGTGCACTTATAGCTTTGGAGGAAGACATCATATTACAGAGAGACTATTTTATTTTATTATTAATCTATTTATTTTATTAATCTTATTTCTTTATACGAGTATATTTTTTATTTTAGAGGGGGATATTAAGACATGAAAATATTTTTATGTGGTGTATAATCAATAAGAGGTAGAAAGAGGTTGGCCCCACTATTAATTTCAAGTTTCAACCACGAAAATGAAAGGATAACATAAAACAAAAAAAAATATATCAAAGAAATTAAAATGGGGCGGCAAAATTAGTGAATCGTTAATGAACAAAATTGCAACCTTTTTTCAGCTCCAATAAATAGGCTACAACCCCATCACTTCAAGAACCCATCAGTTGCAACTTCAGTACCATCTTTCTCTCACTAAAACTTGTGCTTTCTCTCTCTAAAATACATAAAATTTCCAATAAATTTCATTTTTATTTTTGTAAAAAAGTTAAGAAATGGCAAAGGATATTGAAGTAGGAGGAGATCACAGAAGAGAGTTAGCAAAAGACTATCAAGACCCACCACCATCACCATTGTTTGATGCAGAAGAGTTGGGTAAATGGTCATTTTACAGGGCTTTGATTGCTGAGTTTATTGCAACAATGTTATTTTTGTACATCACAGTTTTGACTGTGATTGGGCATAAGAGTCAGAATGCTGCTGATCAATGTGGTGGTGTTGGTATTCTTGGCATTGCTTGGGCTTTTGGTGGCATGATCTTTGTCCTTGTTTACTGCACTGCTGGTATTTCTGGTATGTTTTCGGCATTTTTTCTCGATTTCCTTTTCTATGTTAATTTTCACGTTGATAGTGTAATTAAATCTGAATGGAGGTAGTGACTTATAGTCACGGCCTTGTTAATCAAAACATAGCTATGAGAGAAGTTGTAGCTATGGTAATAAGGGTAAGCTATGAAGATAGATAATTGAACTTTAAGTGTTTTACGAAGTAGTTGTCAACTAGCTATTAACCATTAAACTGGATAGGACTAATAAAAGAGATATAACAATCTTTTTAATCATGTAATAGTGGTTTATCTACTTTTGGACTTTCAATACGCAAATTAAAAAGGAGACCACAGACCCTTAAGAAAACATGCAGTTGAAAACTTGTACAGGACTTGGTAGATGACTATGTTGATTGCACTTGAAAGATACATACCCATACAAGTATATTTGTAAAGTGTTGAGAATTTGTCAAAGTTTGCTTTGAATAAACTTCCAATATATAAAATAGTATAAAAAATATTGAAGTTTTTTTTTTTTTTTTTTTGAAACCAAATATTGAAGTATTAATTGTACTAAAGGAGTTTAAGGAAAAAAAAACCTTTAAAAAGTGACTCAATCATCTGACTTTCAGTGTTACAGAATAAATTTAAGCTTGATGTGTTAGTATATATTACAAATCAATCAATATATTAAAATTTAAAACTCATTAAAACTCAATGGCAAGGATTGTAATCTTGTCACGTGTCGCCAATCTCGCCACGTATTTTCATGTCACCTATTATTAATAATTATGTATCATTGTTTTCTTATAAAAATTTATAATTTAGGAGCATTAATATTTGAACCCATAACCTCATATTCATTAAAATTAAACTTTAACTAACCACCTTATGATGATAAAATAGTATTAAAAAGTGATATTCATGTTCATAAATTCTAAAATTTTAATGGTGAACTTATATGTGTATATTTTAAGAACAATATGATTGCAAAATTAATTTCATTTCTTTGATTAGTTACTCAACCATAATTCATATAGGCTATATTTCATTAAAATATATAAGCCAAAAATGCAAAATAATTTTAAATAATTTTTTGTTTTAACCATAAAATATGTTTATTAGAAGAAATTTATTATGGTAGTTGAATAATTAAAAAAATCCCTTTAACAAATAAAACAAACTGATACAATATACCATTTAGGTTGCTGCATATTAAATTATGAATTTCGATGTTCAATTATATTTAAAATATTTAACAAATAATATTATTTTTATAAAGCCACCAATTTATATTTCACTTGCTTTATTTTGTTATAATAATTTATATATAAACAATGACCCGGGACATCGCCCGGGCCAATAACTAGTTATTAAGTTAAATCTTAAGATAACAATATAATAACATCACAAAATACGTGTTTTCTAAGATTCAACTCGATGTGGTTCTTCAAAATTTAAACTATTAATGTGATTACATAAATTCAGCACAAATTTGTCACACTAAAAATTTCTAATAAAATTGTGTTAATGAACATTTAGTGAAATTTGGCACATAATTGTCTAGTGTTTACCAGAAATTTCTAACAGAATTGTGTTCAACAGTTCAAGTACATTTGGTAAAAATTTGGTAAAGCCTAGATATGTCACTCTCTTGGTGTCAATTTTGGTATGTTTGTCTCCGAAATTTGACAATTGGGCATGTGTATTGAACAGGTGGACACATTAACCCAGCAGTGACTTTTGGGTTGTTGTTGGCCAGAAAACTATCACTAGTGAGAGCCGTTCTATACATGGTGGCTCAATGCTTGGGAGCCATTTGCGGTGTTGGACTAGTCAAGGCCTTCCAAAAATCATACTACACTCAGTATGGAGGTGGTGCCAACACTCTATCCGACGGCTACAGCAAGGGAACCGGATTGGCTGCTGAAATCATCGGTACATTCGTTCTTGTCTACACGGTCTTCTCCGCCACTGACCCTAAGCGCAGTGCTAGAGATTCCCATGTTCCTGTAAGTTACCTTCACTTTTTATAAATATGAGCCTTGCATGGTTTATTTTTTATTGTTGACTAACTTGTACAAATAATGTTAGGTTTTGGCACCACTCCCAATTGGATTTGCAGTGTTCATGGTTCACTTAGCCACCATCCCAGTTACTGGCACTGGTATCAACCCTGCTAGAAGTTTTGGTGCCGCTGTCATCTTCAATGGCAAACAAGCGTGGGATGATCAAGTATGTAGACATTACTAATACTACATTACTTAAAAGAGTTTTATCATATTGCAAAACTTGAAATTTATATGCTAATCTTTGTTCCATTTTTTCATAATGTAGTGGATTTTCTGGGTCGGACCAATGATCGGGGCTGCCATTGCTGCCATCTATCACCAGTATATCTTGAGAGCTGGTTTTGTCAAGGCTCTAGGATCATTCAGGAGCTCCTCCAATATGTGATCATCAAACTTTCTCATATTCGAAATTCCTCATCAAAAGCATGGTTTTTGGCTATAATGAGGATTGTTTGGTGTGCTTAAGCTCTTCCATTTATGCCTAAAGAGAGGTGTTGAGTTACCCAAAAGTTGTATATAAGATTTTAATTTTCATTTTGGTTGGAAGAGCAAGTCATTGTTTGTGTCTAGGCATTACTTTCAGTGGATGCCATTTTCTATTTGCTTTTTTATTATTATATTTTTATCTTTTCACTTCCACTGTTGTACTCTGGTTTCTACTTAATTATGAATAAATGTTTGAAGTTTATCTTTAGTAATATACTGTACTTATTTACGTCAAATTCAAAGCACTACTTTGGTTAATTAAGAATTGGCTGGAACTATGAATATGCCAGCATGCTAATTAGGTAAAGTTCTGGGAAATTGAATTAAGAGTTAAATCTTAGGTGGTGATTGTTTAAACAACGGTTAATTAATCATTTTCTTGTAAATCCGATACCAAATTTTGGGTCGTTCCAGGCAAGAAAACAGCACTTGCACCAGCTCCCCAAATTAGTTCAATAATATGGAATATCATATGGTAATCCAAATATAATATGCTTAGTATAACATGCTTAAGTATTATGCAATCAAGATCTTAAGTATCATGCAATTAAGATAGGAAAATAATGCTCACAAAGTCCGACAGCAACTCTACAGATTTATGGATGAAACGATTCAGCATAACTAGAAAAAAACATCTTACAAATCGAAAATTCTATACAAACTGTACAAAAATCGATTTAGTGTATCTTTTCTCACATTCACCTAGTTGCCAAATGAATCAAAACTATTGCAGACTGAACAGAAATTTAAGTTCTGCTATGTGATTAAGCGTCATATAAATCTGCATGTAATAATATCAGTTCATAACGGGCGATTTCCTAGATTTAAGACCTTCAACCTGCATGTAGCTCAAACAGGAACCAAATATTTCTTCACTTGCACTGATTAATGTTAAACTGGAACCACTATGAATACAGTTCTGCTAAGTAAAACATGCTCATTTAGCCACTAAAACTACTAGCAGCATTTTGTATCAATAAATGGCTCATGAAAATCAATTCATGAATACCTGAATTGTATAATGTACATGGTAAAGCCCCGTTCTACAATGACTGATAAGAAATAGTATATTAATGATTCTTATGTAATAGGTGTATCGGTTTCAGTGGAAACAGTTTAAACATCTAGACTCCCAGTTGGAAGAAATCAACGTTTTACCCAGAAGAGGCTCAGAATAATCTACAAGTTACCTCTTCAAGAGCACACAGAGGAAATAAGCACAACTAGTTAAGATATTATCTTCACTGGTGTAATTTGAGAACTCATCCTATGTAGTTAAAGCAACTATCATATGTTGTTTGGTAATGAACATCTTGTACGCACCTCACCTTGAGAGCCAGTGAGAAATGCAAGATTGGACATCTTCAGCATTGACTTAGAAAATTCTCTGCGGAAGGTTGAACCATCATCTGAAGCAAAGACTTCAACCAGCTTAGCTGTCCTGGGATCTGCCATCAGTTGTTGGTCTGCATAAAGTAAACCCCGTCCCATAATCAAGCCCTTGTAATAATGTGCATCAAAACCAGAGCCTGAGAAAATAAATGGCGCCAAGGACTGATGAAAAGGCAAGCCAGATGCAGATTCTATCAAGTTCCTGAGTCTAGATGGAGAAGGACTGGGGGATGCATCGGCATTACATATTCTTTTCAACTCAAGCAAGAAATCTGCAGGAATTGTAGGATCAGGCTCTCCAGTTCCTTTGAAGTTGGATAATCTCCTTTGAATGAATTCACATCCAATCTTTCCAATGTTGTGTGCCCCTTCAAGTACAAAATAATTAAGGTAAAATTAAAAAGAGAACAAGAACATTAAGAGATCAAGCACTAGATTTAGGTCATTAAGAAACAGGAGGTAATCAAGGTGACACACCCAAGAGGCTAACAATTTCTTTCTCATTGAAACCCTTTTGTGAAAACAAATCCAGCATCTCCGTTATGTTACTGTCTGGTCTTGGTATCTGCTGGTTAGCTTCATCATAGTATGATGCCTGGCTGTCTCTTCGTCCAGTGAGGATAGGGAAAAATGGCCCTCCGGACTGCATTAAAAGAAAGAACAGTGAAAAAAAAACAGAGAGAATAAAATGGACTCAATTCTAAATACAACACATAATTTTAATTTTGAATGATGATGGACAAAGCCATCCAGCAATAAAGTCAAGATAAGCGCATCTGAAATAACAATACTAAAAAGTTTAGACAAGTAAGCTGTTCTAAAGAGCCGGCAGGAAAAATTACATCACTGAGACAAATACTTTTTAAGCATTGACGGGCTTCATTTCAATTGCTCAATAACAAAGCTAAGCCTCAGAATAGAATCCTAGACGCCAATCAACTACCAAATGAAAGAAAATTATCAGAAGGTATTATAACAGTGAACCTTATCCAACATCAAATAATGTTCCTCCTACTAAGTGACATGTGCCATGAACAAAAATTTATAAAAATTGCCAAGAGCGTTAACAGAACACGACTAAACTTCATAACTTAAATATAACTAAGACCCAGCATGGTACATATACAAGTAGTGCATGGAAACTTAAAACAGGGGAAACTAATAAAAAAATATAATTGAGGATGAATACTGAAAGGCAAATGATTAACCACACATGTAATGGTGACCAATAGAATGCATTGACAACTACATGTATGCAATAGCATACTTGTAAAAAACAGGAACAGTCATATCCTGCCAACAGATGAAGGCAAGCAACGTAAGAATAAAGATAATCCTACACATCCACTCTCTAATCTTGCTAGCTGATCTCAGTTTTGAAATAATCCGAGCTCAATGAACGAGAACTGAAAACATATAGATATCGACTAGTTAACATTACTGACCTGAGAGCGACAATAGAGCAACTCAAGAGATTTTCTAAAATCTTCATGGACATATAACAAAATGAAAGTGTTGACAAGTATCCAACTAATGTCACTTTATCTTATAGCAAAGAGACCATATAACAAACTGTTTTATTACTTGTATACATCCCCCATAATTAAGCCAAATGACGGTTCTACTTCAAATAATAGAAGATATGTGAAAGGAACTACAACGTATCACAACAAGAGTGGCAATAATCACAGCTTGATTAGCTGGTAAATTTATATACTACAAAGATGAACTAACAGCAGCTACAAACAGAAGATGATTACCAGAATAATGGCATCCCTAGTGGCCAGAGAAATGATGTCAGAACACGAAACAACGCTAGGGCACTCGGCTTCTAATGCTTGTTTGATTCTATCAATGATTTCGAGACCCTTGAGCGATTGATTTGGAAACGCATTCCTCTCAATGAAATGACTTTGGTTTCCATTACTATCATCTAGAAGCAGAGAAGCATCACAACCCTGAAGCAATATAATTCCCAACAAATTTCAATATCAAACTGAATAAACATAGGTCATTGTCAATAAGTTAAACTTTCGTATCCTACACATTAATTTGAACTTCAATTAACAGAATTTCTTCATAAATTTCAATCAAAAACTCAGAAACGAAAAAATCAAGAACAAAAACGCAAAATCACAAATCCGACTACATTTCAATCAACAAGAAACCCTAGGTAAATTTAATGACGAAAAATCAGCAAATTTCTAACAAGCTCAATAGCATTTCGAAAATCACAAAACCGTAGGTAACAAAAATGATGAAAAATCAGCAAATTTCTAACAAACTCGATGACAATTCAAACATTACGAAATCCTAAGTGACCAAAATTTTCAAAAATTAACAAAAAGAAAACAATAATCAAATGGAAATTTGAGATTAAAGAGAGAGAAAAAGAGACCTGAATAAAGCAATCATGAAACATGAGGCGAAGAAGCTGAGCGGTGGCTCTATTATCGACGGCGACAGTATTCTGCATGAACTGGAAGACAACGCTTTCGGCATTAGGGCAGCTAAGGCGATAGAAATCGTAGAGAAGATTCAGCTGATCGGAAGCTTGAAGCAAGCGTCGATGTAAGAAATTAGCATCGAGAAGAGGAGGAGGAGGAGATAAATCGCCGACGGAAGAGTTGACGCTGAACGATCGGAAAGCGACGAAGAGAAGAGTCAGTGGAAGGAGGAATGAAAACCAGTAAAGCTTTCTCGGAACCGCCATTGTTGTGTGTTTTGAAAAGCTTGAAATTGAATTTAAAAGAGAGAATTAGGAGGGAAATAATAAGACTTTTACGGGAAGATTGTCATCAATCTTTCTACAGTTCCGTTCAAAAAAAAAAAAAAAAAAGTCTATAGTTAAGTACTCCCTCCGTTTCACAATGATGTTTCTGTTTCACAAATCGATGTACTCCCTCCGTGTTTTTTAAGTGTTACATTTTCCATTTTCGGTCGTGTTTTTTTTAAGTGTTACACTTCTTTTTTTGGCAAAAAGCTACATTAAAAAATTATATCTCTCACCTCTCATAGTCCCCACCCAAACCCACTACTACTACTTTTTTTATCAAATATTTCCTCTCGCATTCATTACTTTTCAATAAAATATTAACACCACTATCTTTCTTTTACAATTTTTTAATACTCCAACTACCCCACTTACCTCTTATTTTATTTAAGTCAATTAAATTGCCTAAAACAATGTGCCGATCAAACTGTAACACTTAAAAAACGCGGAGGGAGTAAATTTTTACCCAACTTTGACCGCAAATATCTTTAATCTCATACTAGCAAAAATTATAAAAGTTAGATATTAATAATCTACTCACCAATACGAATCAAACTAGATCTCACATAACTATATTTATTCATATAGATTAAGAGAAATTTAGAAGATTATCTCTTTCTTAAAAAAGTCAAAGATTTCAAAGAAGAACATCGTTGTGAAACAGAGGGAGTAATATGACTCATTTTCATCATTTAAATTTTAGAGAAATTCCCATTGGTACACTCCAGGTTCTGAGTTTTCCCATTGGTACCACATTTTTATTTATTTTTTTACTTGCTGCTGATACGCGCCACATTTTGACTTACTAACTCCCGTAATTAGTGATTTAATCAGACATTATTATCTAGTTTTTATACAGATTTTGTTTTTAAAAAATGAAAAGACTTATATGCCCCTATTTTTTCCCTCCAACTTTTCCCCCTTAAAATTTATGTTATTTCCCACCAAAAACTCTCAACCCTTTCCCTCCCTATAAATGTGGCACTTCCTCTTCTCTTCTCTATTTCATTTGTCCTCCATTGTTGCATTTTTTTTCTTCTCCCATTTTTCTCTTCTCTGCTTCTCTGACATGGCTAGTTCTTCATGTACGGGTTCATCTTTTGGCAGCAGATATGGCAGGTCTATATGGGTCAAACACATTCAATGTAACTGCAGTCCACCAAGACATGCTGAAATTAGGGTTTCTAAGTCCATTTCGAATCCAGGGAGAACATATTATAAGTAGGGGTGAACATGGTTTGGTTTGGTGCGGTTTGAGTCCAAACCAAACCAAACCGTAAAATACGGTTTGGTAAATTTTTCAAACCAAACCAAACCAAACCGTAATAATACGGTTTGGTGCGGTTTGGTTTGCGGTTTATGATGAGATGATATTTTTTTTTCCAAAAATTGTCAAATAATACTTCACTAATTTATAATAATGTTTAAATAAGTCTAACAGATTAAATTGTACTACAAAGTTACAATAAAAATATCAAGTGCTAACACATAATAAAAATAATACATAACAATAAAAGATATTCATATGAGTACTACATTATAGTCATTAATTATAGAGTGTTGACGGTATAGTTTTTATCTATTTTTCATGGTTTTTTTATTTATTCTTTAATTTTTTTATATAATATAAAAAAAAATTATTGAAAAATTATATAAATATTAAAATACGGTTTATTGGTTTACGGTATGGTTTGGTTTATAATTTTTGCAAAACCAAACCAAACCATAAACCATATTTACAAAAAAATCGAGACCAAACCGTAATTTTATAAACTATAAACCAAACCAAACCGCTAAAATACGGTTCGGTTTGGTTTGGTTACGGTCCAGACCAAACTGTGTACAACCCTAATTATAAGTGCAGGCACTGTGGTTTGTTCATGTGGGTTTCTGAAGAACAAATGACAGGAAGTGTTGATGAATCATCTAATATGAGAGTGCTAGAGAGGATTTAATGGATTTTACAGACAGAGCTTATGAGTTTGCAAGCTACATCTACATGGTTGTTAGGATTACTCTTGTCATGAACTTGATTTTACTGTTTGTAGCTCTGATATGAGAATTCTTTGCTGTCCCTTTTAGTTATGCCATGTAATTCATAGATTATGAGTAATTGGAGGTTGTATTTTCTGGATTAATGAATGAAAATTGATGATTGATTGGCATATATTTTGTGTTTATTGATTTGTAGTACTTGCAGTGACAATTGAATCTAAATAAAGACAAAGTTTCACAATTTGAGGACAACTTAACGTAGTCAAAATGGCCACAGTTGGCTATATTCATAAATATCATAAACTGAGAAAATTGAAGATGTTTGGTAACATTAGCAAAAACACATACCAACTACTGAATTTAAGTTCAAAAAAACAAGATGACTACTAACATAACCAATTGTTTAGTACCAAACAACCAACTCCTAATCTACTAATGTCTAACACTTCTGTCAGCTTGGAGAATTTGAGTTTGCTTGAGACATGTGGACTAGCTGGCTAGGCAGTTATGATGCTATCAAAACTGTTGCAGCTTCAGTTGAGAGTTTGCCTTTCTATCCCTGTGATTTCTTGGCAGATGTTGCATGCTTAGTTGCTGGTTAATTAGTTGTTGCAGACTTATTTGCTGCCTTTGCTGCATTAGATTGGTCTCTGACCCTAAGATTCTTTATGACAACTAGCTCACTTGACTTCAGTTCTTTCCCAGTTAAGCCTCCTTTGCAAGTTGCTTTATTATGTCCAAAGCAACCACACTTGCTGCATTTCACTGTTTTTAACCTTTTTTCTGGTTGCTCTTCTCCTTCTTCCCTCTTTCTATTCCTACTTGGTATGCCAATTCCTCTCTTCATCTTAGGAGGCATGATGGTTCTTCTTGACTCATCTGCAAGCCATTGCTTTGTTTTAGGGATTAGGTTAATGCAGACATTGTAAGCTTGCTTATATGTCTTCATAGAGTACCAGGAACTGACAAAGTCATGTGGGTCCAACTTTGCATCAATGCAGGCTCTAATGGCATGCCTACATGGCACACCTGTCAGCTGCCATGCCCCACAGGAACATATCTTCTTATTTAAGCTCAAAGTAAATTGAGATCTTCCCTCATGAATTTCATACTCTCAAGGGTTGGACTTGTAAACTCTGCAGTTTGAGCTAGCTTTACTTATCTCTTTCACAAGCTTGATAATTTTGGGACAAATATCTTCATCTTTCCAAGACTTGGCATTCTTTAAGCCTTGTTGCAATTCTCACCATACAAACCCTTCTAATTCCTGCACACAAAAGCTTAAATAGATAGTTACTTAGAAGGTAAATCAGACATATACTCAAAAGCTAGTTTAGAGATAATACCTTCTAGTAAAGTTAATATAGGTCTACACCTATTCACCCCAAGTGTAGAGTTGAATTGAAGCTCTCTACAAAATTTGATGTATCAGAGTCATTGCAAACATTAGGGTCAAATTGATGCTTACTCCATTTGGACTGTTCTCCTAAGTCTGCAAACCAAGTAATCACAACATCACCTCCTCCCTTCTGCAACTTCTACATAGCTTTCCTAAATGAGAAAGCTGAAGTAGCATTGCAAGCTCTCCAGAATAGCACATACATCATAGGGCCAGGAAACTGCTTCTTGTAATTTCTACTGAGATGCATACAACAAAACCTTCTGTTAGCTTAAGACCGGACCTGTTCTAAAGCTAATTCAACTACCTGATACAATGAAATTCCCAATAATATGTGCATATATATATATAGATTGCAAAAGAATAGAAAACACACTGAAATGGAATTTACTAGCCTTTTTGATAAGTGACTTTTATGTCACTTTTAGGGTGTTTATTGAGTTGCTTTCCGGCTTATTTTCCAATAATTTAGCCCATTTTGTTCTTTATTTCTTTTATTTGCTTATTCTTGTCTTTTATCTTTATTTTGAGTATTTTAGTAGGTTTTAATAGTTTTTAATTTATTTTCGTATTTTTAGTTTATAATTCCTAGTTTCTCTCACTTTCTTATTTTATTTTATTTTCATATTTGTTTTCTTTATTTTATTTTATTTTATTTCTTTTGATTTTATTTTTAAGTTATTTTATTTTATTTTATCTTTATCTTATTTTATTTTATCTTGTGGTAATACCCTCGTGATTTTGGTTTTAGGTGTTCCAGGTTTCAAAGTCATATTCGTGTTCGGAGATCGGAGGTTAGAGTCAAAGGTTTCAATCCAAGAAGCTTCCAAGCATCGTAGTTGCTGCCCTCTTAACCTTCACTCCACCATCACCTAAACCTACACCACACCCTCTTCACATCACTTCCCCTGCTCACACAAACCACCTCACACTCCCCTGCTCTCTTACCACCACACACCACCAGCCACAACAACCCAACAATGACAGGAAGCCACACAAACCTTCACCCCTGTTCGCAACCCACAGCACCAGCCACCACTAAAACCGCCAGCAAATACCACCACAATCCCCTGCTCCCTCACGCACTCCAGCCATCAATCACCACCAAACCACTCACCAATTAAATCCCTCAACTCACAGCAGCAAACCACCATCAACAACCACCCATCAATTTGACCCCAGCCTGCAACTACCTCCAACCAAACTTACTCCAACCATCACAAACCACCAGCCGCAACAACCCAAACCACCAGCAATCACAACCGCATCAATCAAACCACCAATCAGCAATCGCAGCAACTCACAACACTCCTACTCCCTGCTCCAACTCTCCTTCTCCCGCAACCACCAATCTCAGCCTCCACAGCCGCCAAAACCACCAGCAACAATCCCCATAGTAGAGCAGCTCCTCTCCGTGCAACAATTGCAGCACCGAACCACCCAATCTCCAACTTCAGCCACTAAGCACCTCACGCCCACCATAACGACAACCACCAATTCATAGCTACACCAGCAGCGAATTCTGGCCTCCTCTCTTCACCATTTGCAAACAATCGAACCTCAATTAAGGTCCAATTTGATTGGAGCTTCGCGGCCGCGCAGCCCTGTCAGAAGGCGCACAGTTGGAGTCGAAATTCAAAGTTGAGGCAGTAAGTTTGCGCGACCTCTGCACGACGTCTTCGCGGGCACGCAAATGTGGGTCAATCACGAGCTTTTCACGTGATTTAAATGATAATCGGATGGCCACGTTTAGGGAATATTTCAAG